TACTCAAAAACGCCGAAGTCCCCTGAGTAGGTTTTAAGTAGACCTATAGTTGGGGTTATAAGTACCCATGAACCTCCAAGTAGTGCTGGCAATGCAAAAGTGCGTTGCTTCAACAGTTTATGGTTTTGGCCTACCGGTACCGTGCCCGGCCAACTCGCTCGTGCTTAGTTGTTGAAAGCATCTCCAACAAGAGCAACATCATGAGCATGTTGTCTCGCAGATGCACGAAGCCACAAGACCTGTACCCTAAACACCTAAACCCCTAAACCTCTAAACCCCTAAACCCCTAAACCCCTAAACCCCTAAACCCCTAAACCCCTAAACCCCTAAACCCCTAAACCCCTAAACCCCTAAACCCCCTAAACCCCCTAAACCCCCTAAGCCCCCTAAGCCCCCTAAACCCCTAAACCCCTATACCCAAGCACGGCTTTTCAGGGCCTGGGCTTGCACCCTGACAAGCCAGAAGCAGGTGGATCGAAACGCCTGGTCGGTGGAAGTGCAAGGAGTTGCTGCCTCAGACAGTGTCTTGTACAATTTGCTTACCCCACCCAAAAAAAAGTAAGTGCACAACATAAGAAACATATTTATTATTATTAATATTATTATTATTAATACATATATGTATATAACAATACTTCCTTATAAGTTTAAAAGGGTAATGTAGGTTTTTTTTTTTTTTTGGGGGGGGGGTTCTCAAGCAAATAGTAGCTTTGGGGCCTTAGGCTGTTGAGGTTCAGGGCTTGGGGTTTGCCATGTTTCTGGCAGTGCTAGTGCTGCCGGCACATCGGTAACCTGATACATATGTATATACATGTTCTCTTTATATATATATATATACAAAGAGAGATCGAGAGAATAGGATATATACATGTAAACATATACGTTCTACACATACTTGTTAGGTAGTCATTCTTGGTTGGGGTTGTGTGCTTGCTGGTTTACGGGGCTGTGGGCTTTGTGACCTAAGTTCTCAACCCTAGGCCCTAAGCCCGAAATCCCAATCCCGCAACCCCACACCCCAAGCCCTAAACCCGAAACCCTTCAACCCTAAACCCTTCAATGTTCCCCCTTATGCCAGCACTCCTTAATAGGGATTATAGTGCCCCTCTATGATAGTCCGTCTTAAGAACTGTCAGCATCAGGGGGAACATCCCAACTCCAAACCCTAGACCCTGGACTCCGACACCCGAAACAAGCCTCAAACTCCATGCTTGGACTGCGCACCCTCAACCCTCCACTCTCCAACCTCCAACCCTCAAACCTCAACCCTCAAGCCTCTCCTTGAGCTTGGGCTTCATGCTGGAGCTGATGTATTCCATGATGTACAGTGACCTGAAGTAAGATTTACCCTAAACCCTAAACCCTAAGCCCTAAACCCTAAACCCTAAACCCTAAACCCTAAACCCTAAACCCTATAACCCTAAACCCTAAACCCTAAACCCTAAACCCTAAACTAGAGCAAGGCGAACTAGGCTTGTTTTCTGGGCCTTCTTGGCCTTCGCGAGTTCTCTTAGGGAGAAGAGCCCTTGGCTTGAGCTCGGTTTATGGCTCATATACCCTCATGGGACTCGTCGTGCACAGTGTTCTTGAACCCTAAACCCCAAAGGTTGAGTTGCCTTGCTCTAGTTTAGGGTTTAGGGTTTAGGGTTTAGGTTTTAGGTTTTAGGGCCTAGGTTGTTTAAGAGGGCTGCCGTTTGCGATGAGGCGTGGCGGCTTCAGGGTTACCACGACGGCGGTTTACAGCGAAAGTTGACATGATTATGCTTTCAGCTTAGGATATTCCCCCTTGTATGAACAATACATATTAATAGGGTACTATACTACCTATTAAGGACTGTTAGTATAAGGGGGAACATCCCAACTTACAGCCCCTAAACCCCAAACCCGACACGTTGCGTCCCAGAACCCAATGCTGTTGAGGACCAGGTTGCCAGAGTGACGCCGCTCGGGCGCTTGTTGAGAAGGGAATACTTGGGACTCGGGACGTTCCCCCTTTTTCTAACAGTCCTGAAAAGGGATTATAGTAACACCCCCCCCCCCCCCCCCCCCTTATAATCCCTGTTCAGGACTAGGGATTGTAGTACCCCCCCCATTCGGATCCCCAGTAAGGGCTGTTAGTATAAGGGGGAGCATCCCAAAGCGCTACTCTTCAGAGAGCACTTGCCTTGTGGGCTTCCACCAATCGCAAGAACCCTCAACACGCTACAATTCTGCCATACCTCCAGCCCCAAACCAAAGCAAACGGGGGAACCTCAAACCCTATTCCATAGGGCCCAGGGGGCTCGCGGCCCCGCAACTACCAATCCCTCAGCCGTACGGAAAGTAGCTATAGCACGCCCAGCAGTGCGCTTTATTCACTTGTTCCTGTAAGCTTAGTGAAGCAGAAAAGGGTGACACTCCATTTCATTCCGGAGGTACCTGCCCCCAAACAGAGAAGAAGAAACTGAGCAGCAGCACCCACATCCCCCCGCCCCTCCCCCTCCGGCCCCCAAAAAACAAAACTGTCCCAACACCTCCCAAACCTTTCAATGTCAACCATCCCCCCTGAAGAATAGAAACCTGAACCCCGTTCGTCATGGGTTTTGGGGGGCACAGCTGCTCAGGGGCTTGGGACGGGGGGGTGCCTTGGGTTAAGGGGTTTATAGGGCTTGTAGGGTTGAGAAACCCTGTGAAGCAACAGCACAACTTGGGATGTGTCCCTCTGAGACTAAGGAGCCCTTAACGGGGATTGTAGTAGGGGTACGATCATCCCCTAAACCCTAAACCCTAAGCCCTAAACCCTAAACCCTAAACCCTAAACCCGATTAAGGACTGTTAGTACAAGGGGGCACATCCCAAAGCACAACTCTTTCGTTGTCCAAGCTACTCTTGGACGGAGGTTGGCCCAAAAACGCCCTCGAACCGTCAACCTCAAAAGCTTTGTAGTAGCCCTAAATAGGGTTTAGGGTTTAGGGTTTAGGGTTTAGGGTTTAGGGTTTAGGGTTTAGGGTTTAGGGTTCATAAATCTCAGCCCTAAATTAGACCCCACATCTAAACCCTGAACCCGAACCCTGTAGCCCTAAAGGCCCCCGCCCCTCAGCCCTAAAACCTACACCTCCGAAACCCTTAACCCCCACAAACCCTAAACCCCAAACCCCAAACCCTAAACCCTAAACCCCAAACCCCATCCGACACCCCAAGCACCAAGCACCAAGCCCCAGGCCCCAAGCCCCAAACCCCAAACCCCAAACCCCAAACCCCACACCCCACACCCCAAACCCCAAACCCCAAACCCCAAACCCCAAACCCCAAACCCCAAACCCCAAACTCCAAACCCCAAACCCTAAACCCTAAACCCTAAACCCTAAACCCTAAACCCCAATGCCAAAGGAAGGCCCTCATGGGCTTCCAATGCCTCCGTGGGCTCAGCTCCAGCGCTCTGGAGGTGTTCTTGTGCTTAGGGTTTAGGGTTTAGGGTTTAGGGTTAGGGTTTAGGGTTTGTGGTTTAGGGTTTAGGGTTTTGGGGTTTAGGGTTTAGGGTTTTGGGGATTAGGGTTTAGGGTTTTGGGTTGAGGGTTTAGGGTTAGGGTTTGAGGTTTAGGGTGTTCATGGTCGAAGTTTAAAGTTTAGGGTTCAGGGGTTCAGGGGGTGTCCGCGTGCTTGATTTTCGGTTTGTTAGTGGGGCTGGGCTGGGGGGATGGGGGAGGGACGGGGGGGATGCGGGGGAGGGGTTTTATTGCTAGTGTATTTTCCGTGGGGGGAGGGGGGGGTGCGGCTGAGAGGATCGGGTTTCCGGGACTGGAGTTTAAGTCTCCGGGGCTTTGGTCTGTAGGGTGTTGAAGTGCACGTAGGTCAAACTCTGCGGGTAGTCTCATGGGCCCTGTTACAAAAGGGGTACCCAGGTAATTTTCATATGGCTCCTGACCTTCCTTTTAAGGGTTCTGAAGTGTGAGCCCTGGGGTTATCTAGGAGTTTTCAAAGCATTTAGGTCAACCCTAAACCCTGAACCCCAACACCCTGAGGCCTATAGACCCCTAGTCCCTTGGACCCGAAGTCCCCTAAATCCGTTGAGTTCCCTCTCCTGCATTCCACGCTGCAGAACTGCCTCTTTATTAACCACCGAACTCACGCGCTGTCCCTAAACCCTAAACCCTAAACCCTAAACCCTAAACCCCAAAACCCTAAACCCTAAACCCTTACCCCTAAGGGCCCCCAAGCCTACGTCAGACGGCGCGCACCGAGAGCGAGAGCCGGCGATCCGACTCCGTGTTGGATCGCACCAACTGCCGGGTTTTCTCTGTGTATAACAAATGTAAGATGATATACGAGTTTGTATTATTATGAAATACAATAATACAATGTATCAAATTTATATCATGTAATGTGTGTTCCATCAGAACATGATATATACATATGGATACATATATATATATATATGTGTGTGTGTGTGTGTATTTATATTCGTATATTACTCTTGGCATGCTGGCACTGTGGGGTTCTACAGGGTGCTCTTGAGGCGTCGTTGGGTTGTGATGGGTTGGGGTTGGGTTTTGTGTGTGTGTGAGACGGAAGGAGAGGAAGTCTAGGTGGGGCCGTTGTTGGGAGAGTCTCAGGGTAGTCCCTTACGCCAAATCCGACCCCCCTCCCCATGCACCCTGGGTTTTTAAAAGGCGCTCTGTTAGTCCAGGCTCCCTGTGGGGAGCATGAGCAAGCGCGTTTCAGCCGTCATCTTTCGAGCGGTTTTTGCAAAGGTGCATCTCCGTGGAGGTATCCCACCTCTTAAGGTCTTGACCACAAGGAAGAAGTCCCTTTATTAGGCACGATGATTTTGCATTCCAGAACTTTGTCGGCAGTAGTGGCAGACTGAGCGGGGGACGGAGTGAGGCACAAACTGCAGCATCAGGAACAACAAGTTTGTTCCAAGAACGGTTGCGCACAACTATGTTTTTAAATATTTTGCGTCTTTAATAAATACTCCGTTCTTCTTGTAACATGTGTGGAAAACGCGCTGCTGGTCCGCCATGTTTGCCCTGGAGTTCGCCCGTAGCACCGTGTGTCAGTTTGGGGGGTGCGGAGTGCCTCTGAGATATGTGTTGCACAGGCGGTCGATGCCGACAGAATCATTGTCTGGGGTTCCATTCTTGCGGTCTTGCGCAGTTTGGGGTGAGCTCATGTTTGTTCGTTGCAAGCCAGTGCGGCGCGTTCCTGTGGAAGTTACACTCGATTCTATCGCCCATCCAAATTTCCTGAGCAGGACGCTTGTTCCAAATACCTTCTAAAAGGCCTTAAGTGGGGGACGGGGGTCGGATTTCTGCGGTTAGGGTGAAGGGCCCTTGGGTTGTGTAGGGTATATGAGGGTTGAAAAGGGGTCCCCATTCCAGGGCCCGTATTCATGGACCATGTACGAACTTGCGTAGAGTTTAAATTTAGCTTCGGATTATCCATGACGGTACCAAAAGGGGCCCAACACTCCAAACCCCACTACCTTATGACCATGAACCCTACATCCTAAGCTCTGAACCCTAAACCCGAAGCCCTCAACCCACAACACCCCCCCCCCCCGGCAACAAAAGGAAAAGAGGAAAAGAGATAAGAACAAAGAAATTTTTTGACTGTTAGTAATACCGAATTCTGTAAACAACCAAAAACACATGTATACAAAAATCAACGAATGATACTTTCTGCGCTCTGCTTTGTGGCTCTGGCCTCCCGATTGGGAGCCAGGTACTGCCGCCACCAAGTTCCTGACGCACACGCAGTCTGCCAGGGGCGCACAGCTTTCCCAACAGTGGGGTTTAGGGTTTAGGGTTTAGGGTTAAGGGTTATGGGTTTGGGGTTGCGAAGGTTTTGCAAACCGTGTCTACTGCATCGCCTTCAGGGATGTGGTGTTGAGTATCTTTTGGGTTGAGCATCCTGTCATAAACTTAGGGCCACGGGGTTTTAGAGTTTGGGCTTTGCAGAGGTGTTTTTTCATACTGCGCGATGCTTATGCATCCCTTCATTGTGGGTAGAGGGCTTTGGGGAGGTACCCGGAGGGTCAGTTGAGAGCTGAGAGCCTCTTAAGAGGTGGCCTCAACTGCAACGCACTAAAAGGGGGTGGGGGAGGTCCTGAACAAAAAGAACAGGTGCAGGGGTCTAAGCTCTTGAACCCCCATACCGTTGAATAGGCCTGGGCCCTTTTGCAACCATCCAAACGCTATAAACCGTTTTCGACCCTGAAAACCCCGTAAAATCCAGCCTACTAACCTCATAAACTCTACAATCCCCACAACAAAAAGGCATTCTAAGCCCAAGACATCAAACCTGCTAAACCCTGGACCCCCTCCCTTGCAACGTTCTGCGCCTTGCGCCCTCAGCCAGGGCGGCTCCATGTCGCCAGAGGAAGAGCGGAGGCGACTTCTGGAGATGGAGGCCAGGTTTAGGGATTGGGGTTTAGGGTTTAGGGTTTATCCTGTAAGTAAGCTATTGCTGCGGCTTAAGGTTTAGAGCTGTAGGGTTCCGAGGCCCGACAATCTGACATATTCCTCGGTTTAACTTGCTGTTGGTTGGCAGGATGAGGGAGGGCCTTATATATACCCTTTAAGGGACTATATAGGGCACCCCCTTCTCGGACCTGTGGGAAGACCCAAGTTCCTAAGCCCCAACCGTCAAGAGCCCTAAGCAGCAAAGCATCACTCGGCCCGGATGCCGGTGTTTCTCGGGATGTTGGGGCGGCCGGCCGAGCTCTTTGGGCCATCGACTTCCAGTGTATGTTGCACCCCCTTCTCGTTGGAATCTTTCAGCCCCGAACCCCCGCACCAAAAACCCTTAGGCCCTAAGCCCTGAACTCAAACCTTCAAGGTCCTATGCCCAAACCCTAAACCCTGGACCCTAAACCTAAACCCTAAACCCTAAACCCTGGACCCTAAACCCTAAAACCCAAACCCTAAACCCTAAGCACCACACCCTAAACCCGCTGAATTCCAAATCTCTCAAACCAAGCAAGCAAGCACTCTGCTGACCCAGGCTGAGTTCTACGGCCAGTTCTGGGAATCTGCTCAGAGCTCGGAGGACTTCCTGGATGTGTTCGAGGCCAGACTGCGGTTTAGGGTTTAGGGTTTAGGGTTTAGGGTCTAGGGTTTAGGGTTTAGGGTTTAGGGTTTAGGGTTTAGGGTTTAGGGTTTACGGCTGTTGGGGCTTAGGGTTTCTAGAGCCAGTTTGTGCTTTTTTGGTTGGTCATATGGGGGTTACAAACATAGGGGATCCCTAAAATGGAGCCAAAATAGTAGGATTCCTAAACCCTAAACCCTAAACCCTCCTAAAGGGTCCCTAAACCCTAAACCCTAAACCCTAAACCCTAAACCCTAAACCCTAAACCCTAAACCCTCAACAACAACAACGGGTAAGACCTATTAAAGTGTGAGGGCATATTTGGGGCTAAACCCTAAACCCTAAACCCTAAACCCTAAACCCTAAACCCTAAACCCGGGAGGCTTGGGACCCCTATGAAGTCCCTGAACCGCAGCCCAGCGCTGCTGAGGCGCCCCAAACAAAAAATGCAAACCACCGAATCCCTAAGCCAACCACCTTAATCGGTTTAGGGTTTAGGGTTTAGGGTTTAGGGTTTAGGGTTTAGGGTTTAGGGTTTAGGGTTTAGGGGTGTAGGGTGTAGGGGTTTAGGAAGTATAGGGTTCGTTCGGACCCAGTAGGCCCTGTATTCCCTTTTTGGCCGGGCTTGGCTTCCCTTTAGAACAAGCCCCTTTGAACCCAGAAGGGCACCCTCTTTCTTCCAGGGTTTAGGGTTTAGGGTTTCGGGTTTAGGGTTTAGGGTTTAGGGTTTAGGGTTTAGGTGGTTCCTCCTGCGTCTAGCTGGCCCTGATCTCTTTAAACTCTCAACGATAAACCCGACACGTGCATCGCTGCTGCCTCGCCGAAATTTCGGAGCTATCGCGCATCCTGTTTGGGGATATGGGTTTCGGTTCAGGGTATCTAGGGGCCCTTCTAAACTTCGTTGACCGTTGAGCGCAAACCGACGCCCCTTTCTCTCAGGTTCGTTGGCAACCCTAAACCCTGCTAACCCCTAAGCCTCAAACCCTAAATCCCAAATCCTTAAAGCCTATAATCCATAAACCCTACACTTGAACCCTAAACCCTAAACCCTCCAGCCTGTAGCCCTATAAACCCTAAACCCCAAAGATTTAGATTGTGAAGGAGTCGCGGGACTTGCCGGGCTTCGGCGACAGGGAGCCCCCTCCTCGGCCGAAGGACGCGGCAAGGGCCCCGAAACAGGAAAAGACACAAAAGCCCACCTGGTACCCTCAAGCCCTAAACCCTAACCCTAAACCCTAAACCCTAGACCCTAGACCCTAAACCCTAAACCCTAAACCCTAAACCCTAAACCAGACCCTAGACCCTGGACCCTAGACCCTAAACCCTAAACCCCAAAGAACTTACAAGTTCACCCTAACTCCAACTAGCATGGGTCCCTCTAGATTCCTCTGGCGCCTTCAGATCCCGGGGGCCGATATCCTAGGCAGGCCAAGAGGATTGGTTAGGGTTTAGGGTTTTGGGTTTAGGGCTTTGGGTTTTGGGTTTGGGGTTTAGGGTTTAGGGCGAATTGCCTGGATGTTCTAAACGTGAAAATCAGGAGCAATCCTACAGTAGGAATTCCAGAGCGAAGTGGCAACATAGATGGAATAACAATTCCATACATCGCAGCCCTAAGCCCTGACCCTAAACCCTCAACCCTAAACCCCTGAACCTTTGCTCCCGCGACTTCCTCCGCACTCCCTGATGACTTCGACATTGGTATTTAGGGTTTTTGGGTTCAGGGTTTAGGGTTTGTCCATGCGTCAGCAGCCGCACGTGGCCCAATAAACCCTTAACCTAAACCCTTAACACAATTCGCGCAATAAACCAAATATATCCGAAGAAGCTTAATCGACCCAATAAACCCAATAAGCGGCATAGCCCCTACAGCCTAAACCCTAAACCCGAAACCCTAAACCCTAAACCCTAAACCCTGAACTCTCCTCGGGAGGATGTGCCCGAACTCAACTTGGCGTTGCAGGCTCTAGGGCTTCGGGTTTAGGGCTGAGGGTTCAGGGCTCGAGGCTTCGAAAATCGGGGTTTAGGGTTTAGGGTTTCGGGGAGGGGGGGGAGGGGGGAGGGGGGTGGGGGGGGGGGGGGGAGGGGGGTGGGGGGGGGGAGGGGGGGAGGGGGGGAAAGCGATATTCGGATGCTTATGTGTACCTCGTTATTTAATGAGATCTCTTCTGATACGCGCTCTGATGTTCAAGGGCGGGGACCTAAACCCTAGACCCTATAAACCCTAAACCCTAAACCCTAAAAAGAGCAACCCGAGCGTTGGGAATTTCAGGAGTTAGGGAGCAGAAGCCGGCGTCCCCCTTCTTGACAAAGAAACTGTGCAATCCGCTGTTAGGGTTTAGGGTTTCGGGTTTCGGGTTTAGGGTTTAGGGCTAGGCGGGGCCACAACAGACCCACGCGTTTTCGGCAGTTTAGCTCTGTTGCCCTCAGAATCCCCTGTAAATACCGATGTTTCCTGGGTTTCGCACCTCACCTCATCCCCGCAATTTTTATCCAAAACTATCCTGCAATATTTTGGGCATCCGTAGACTGCGCTGGTATTTGTGGGTTTTTTTGCACTCCTTCGCACTTTCGACGCGTCCTAAACTACGCCCTGTCTTGCTTGCATCCGCTTCTGCCCAGCCCTGGGTCTAAATAACACGTTTGCTTCACCATAGTTAGAAGAGAGCATCCATGGCCCAACCATGATGACGTCCATAGTCTAATCCGTTCTGGGAAGAGAGTATCCATGGCCCAAGCATGATGGCGTCCATGGTCTACTCTGTTCTGATGAGAAGAGAGCATCCATGGCCCAAGCATGATGACGTCCATGGTCTACATGTTTTCTGCACTGCCATGGCCCAACCATGATGACGTCCGTGGTCTCCTCCGTTCTGGGAAGAGAGCATCCAGGGTCCAAGCATGATGACCCATGGTCTATTCTGCTCTGATGAGAAGAGAGCATCCATGGCCCAAGCATGATGACGTCCATGGTTTACATCGTCTGATCCATTCCGAGAAGGTTAAACCTTCTTCTGGGCAGAAATGGCTGGAGGTTCTTGCTTTTAGGCGCACTGGGGAGCAGAAAGGCCTCATTTCTCAACACTAAAGGCGGTGACCTAAGTCCTGCATCTCAGGTTTGCTGGTGGGGCCACAGTTTTGCGCGGGTCTGTTGTGGACCCGCCAGGGTTTAGGGCCCCGCGGAAGACGAAGCCCACAGAAGACGAAGCCCGCACTCCTCAACCCCGCCACAACCCGCGCACCCCCCCCCCCCCCACCTCATTCCCCAGAACCTTCTTGAACTCCAAACCGCAGAGCCTCCCGAACAGCCCTGAACCCTCAACCAGCCCTATCCCTTAAACCCTTACCCCTGAAACCCTTACACCCTTAAACCCTTACACCCTTACACCCTTAACCCCCTAAACCCTTAAACCCTTCAACCCCTCAACCCTTAGACCATTAGACCCTTAGACCCTAAAACCCTAACCTGTTTCCAGGAAGCCCCCCCCCCCGCCCCCCACAAAAAAAGGGAATCAAAACCCTAAACCCTAAACCCTGGACCCTAAACCCTAAACCCTAAACCCTTAATAGTAAACAGAATCAAAAGAGGCCCTTGGGCTGCTGGCCGAGTGCGGCCGCGCCATCCGCGACTTCTGGCAGACCTCCGGGATGACGTTGCAGCAGTTCAGGCCAGTCCAGGGTTTAGGGTTTAGGGTTTAGGGTTTAGGGTTCAGGGTTTAGGGTTTAGGGTTTAGGGTTTAGGGTTTAGGGTTTAGGGTTTAGGGTTTAGGGTTGAGTGTTTAGGCTTTTTGGGGGTGTAGGTTTTTGGGGTTTTTAGGGTTGATAGAATTGAGAGGGCTTATACGGGTTTACAGGGCTTATAGGGTTTATAGGGTTCAGCGTTTATAGGGTTTGGGGTTGGCCGTTTGGTGGTTCAGGTTTTTGTTGGTGCCCCGTAGGGTCTAAGCCTGCCTCAGTACGATGCCTCATTTTTTGGGGGGGCTTTCGTTTGTTGAGCGTAGGTGCTGAGAAGGTAAGCTTGATTTGTCCTTTTGGGGGGGGGGGTAGGGTTTGAAGGGTTTTGCTCTGAAACCTTTACCTTAAGCCCCTTAAGCCTGACCGGGTTCTCAAACTGACCCTTAACACCCTGCGGTCAACATCTGAGAAGCGCCCTAGAAGACAACGGCGAATGATTTGGATCACGATGATGACAAGCTCAATTTTTGAAGCTGCGTCCAAGGATCCATTAAAAGTGCATTACTTCTAGGATGCCCAGTAGTGCCCTTATTCCCTTTTTTGGGGGGGTAGGTTCCCTTTTTCAAGCCCCTTTAAGCAAAAAAGGGTCCCCTTTTTTAATCCTGGGTTACTCACAGAACTCTCCACTAGCTTAGTTGTTGCATGGAAGCTGGCCAAGTTGGTCAGACAGCTTGCAGGCACGGGGTAGGGTGGGGCGGTGTCTTGCTGACTTTGTGTATCTGACAAGCCAGGCTTTTTTGAGATGAAAGATGAAAAGTCACTTTTTTCACCCTGGTGTTGTGGAGCAGGCCCCCCGCCCCCCGATCCAACCTCCCCAATCTGCCCACAAAAAGCAAGGAACAGCGTGACAAGTGCAATATTGAAAACATCAACCTCCAGCATATTTGTGAGTAGGGCTTCACCTTCCACGGTTGAATCTGTCAACTGTGACGGCCTAGACCTCCCTACATCCACTTCCTGAAATCCCCCAACCCCCCCCCCCCCACCCCATAGCCCCTAGCTAAAGCCCCCTAAATCCCCCCAAAGCCCCCTAAAGCCCCCCAAACCAAAACACGTCTTCCCCCTTCTTGAAGGAAGATTGCCTTGACTCCCGGGGCGCGGCTCGTGGGCGAGGGTCCGGGGCGGAAGCAGACCCCCACGAACCTGAAGTCCAGACAGAGACTTGGCTGATCTAAGCCAAAACCAAAAAGGGCACCCTTTCTATTCCTAGGTTACTTGGTGGTTGATCTAAAGGTCCTTCTTGTGAAGCTAACTCAGGTAGGTCCCAGAGTAGGCCCTTATTCCATGTTTTATAGGGCTCTGATTCCCTTATCAGCCCGCAAAACCTAAAAGGGCACCCTTCTTGTTCCTAGGCTACCCTTGGGTCTAGTTGGTGGTTGATCTAAAGGTCCTTCTTGTGAAGCTAGCTTAGGATTCCCATTCTAAGTCCCAAATGAGGCTCTTATTTCCTTTTGCGGGGTTTAGCTTCGCTTATAATACCCTTTTTTGTTCCTTGGGTACTTTTGGGTCTAGTATTGGTTTTACAAGGGAAGCCTAGGGCTATTTTGGGAACAGGTATTGTGAGCGACCACCACTTGGCGGTTGAGAGTTTAGGTTCCGGATGGTTCAACAAATGTTGCACATCCATGCACTTCCGAAACCCTAACCCTAAATCCTAGACCCTGAACCCTTGAGGACGGTGGATGGAAGTGCAGCATTTGTCGGTTTAGACGCCTTGGGGAGGTTCTTCTTTGGTCTGAGGAATCACGCCTCTAGCCCGTACAGCTCAAGGTTTAGGGTTTAGGTTTAGGGTTTAGGGTTCAGGGCTTGGGGCTTAGGGCTCAGGGTTTAGGGTTTAGAGGGCTTAAACAATTTCCCAAACCCTCCTGGAGCACGCATACACGTCCCAGCCCTCAGCTTAACAATCTCATCCGAGTTCTTGCTCTAGAGGGTGCAGTGGCAGCATCTTGTAGTTTTCGAGGGAGTATAAGGGGAAACGTTGGCAAGCATTTAGAAAGGCCACCTCGCGCGCGCGAAGGGCGCGTTTCTTCGACCACACTTCGCACAACGCCCTCTTCCCCGACAATCCTTGCCCGCTGTTGCAAGTGCTCGCTCCTTCCGTAGGTTAACCATGGCCTGCGCATATGTTTAATTTAGTCCAGCTCGCGCCGCCCTCAGACGTGGATGCAGAGGCTGCAGTTGCATGGTTTTGCTGGTCATTGTAGCAATGGCTGGCCTTCAGTTTTCTGTACCATTCTTTGCTTCGAGTATTCGTAGTGGGGGTTTGTGCCGTGACCTGTTTGGATCTGTCACAAGCTGCATTAAGCAGTTCGTGGACATGATGTCGGGTACGGTTGTGATTGTATGGACCTCTTAAGGAAGGAGGACTGTTTTGGCACAACCCTAAGGCATTCTGTTTCTTCTTTGCTGAAGGCGCCAACGTCGATCTCCTCGATTTGTGGCTGACTTGTCGAAACTGCACTGAAACTCTTGGAACACTCGATATATTGAGGCGGTGTTTCCTCGAGCTTCGCTTTGTATCGTTGACGACAATCCCTCCATCGTGCAGGAGTTCAGTGGCAGTGGGCACAAAGGCCTTCACATCCAGCTGCTAAAGCGTGAGGGGAATCTGCTGGAAGGACTCCGCACAAGGCAGTGCGCAAATTACACGTTAAGCTGCAGCTAAGCTTCCACAGCAAGCCCCTAGAATGCCCCGAGCCCCAAAAAACCCTAACAGCTCTAAAGCCCGAAAAGCGTGAAGAAACCCAAAGCCTTCCTGCCACAGAACCGAACAGCACCGATAGTTCAGGAAACTGTCCGATTGGCGCTCTGGCGGGTCTAAGGCCTGCCTGGGGGTTTAGGGTTTGGGGTTGAGGGTTTAGGGTTCAGGGTTTATCGCGTTTCTAGTGGGGTTTATCGAGTTTGTAGGGCTTGGGTAGGATTTATCGGGTTTAAAGGGTTTAGAAGGTTTGTGGGGGTTTACAGGTTTTGCAGGGTTTAGAGGGTTTATAGGGTTTGCAGGGTTTATAGGGTCCATAGGTTTCAGGATTTAGAGGGTTTATAGGGTTTGTAAGGGATGTATTATGAGACGAAACCCCAAGTACAAGGGTTAAGGCTTGCCTTTGCCAGCCTGAGCGGTCAGCCATACTGCCAGGCCCTTCCATAAAGCGTCGCATATCGTTTTGACGCAACACGCAGAGCTAGCCTCCCGTACCCCCCGCCCCCCTCGCTGCTTGTTGTGCTCTAATTCTAGGTAGGACTTTGAATATATTCCCTGGGTTCAAGAGGATGATAAGCATGAGCTCATGTCGTGGCAGGTGAGCTACTTCTCGCCAACGGTCAGCGCCATTGACAACTACGAGCGTGGAAAGGCGCGCATGTGAGTAATACAGGGGTCAGAATAACTACAAACAAGATTCTCTGATAGTCCCTTGGTAATCGTACGGTAATTATACGAACAATAAACCCCACAACCCTGTTCTAATTAATGTTGGACTCGCTTTAGTGCGTAGGGGCCCCCCCCCCCCCCCCCCCCCCCCAAACAATTTTGGGGCTTTCGGGGATCCTTAATAATCTGGGACGGGGCTGGGACGGGGGCTGGGGGTAGGGCGGCTAGGGGTCGAGGGTTGAGGGGAAGCCTTGAAGCTTGAGGGTCTAAGCTTGCCAGGCTTTGTAGCTCCACGGTCGCCGGGGCTCCAGATTAATGCGGACCACCGAAACAACTTGCTAAAGCGAATCAGGGCAGCTCGTGGGCTACTCCCTTGGAAAATTGTTTGGGGGCCTGTTTCGTAATGAAATTTTACAAGGAATTTAAATAAGGCTGGACGCCAAAAAAACCCGGAGCTTCTTATTCAAAACTTTTTTTTTGGTTTTTGGCTCCCCGGCCCCCCGCCCTTCAACCCCAGCCGGGACAACATCGCATAATTGTGAACCCCCCTAAACAATGGGGGGTCCTGTATAGGCCGAGCGGAAAACCGCATAATAGTGGTCCCATCTACTAAAGCCAGTCCAACATGATCAAGGCCCCTACAGTAGGCTCTTGCCTGGCCCTGTGAACCTGAAGCCCCAGTCCTAATATCAGGCCGGATTGGGTTTGACGGTCTGTTGTGCCATCCCACTAGATGATATCCATTAAGGACTGTTAGTGTACGGGGGAAAATCCCCAAAGATAACCATTTATTCTTACGTAGTGGACACCCAAGTCATGGAGCTTCTGGATTGTCCGTCAGGCTTCTTACATATAAACCCCCAAACCCTAAACCCCAAACCCTAAACCCCGACGCATCCCACTGCAAAGGGCGCCAGCAAGTCGCCAGCGTCTGGTGCTTGGATTTTTCCTTTGGTAGGGCGTTTGAGGGGGGGGGGGGGGGGGGGGGGGGGGGGGGGGGGGGGGGGGGGGGGGGGGGGGGGGGGTTTATTTGGGGTCTATTTTTTGGATCCTCCCAGGGGTCTGGGTCTGGAGCCAGGCTGAGTGTGTGGGACGGGTTCGCTTCGCGCGTCTGCAAGTGGTGGTTCAGATGACGTTCTTGCCGCCCACGCGCATGGTCTTGTCCTAGCACGGGCTTCTTCTGAAAATGGTTAGCAAAAGGGAGCTCGAATGTAGAACCGCCCAGAATTCAGGTTGAGTGAGCTGCTCTTAAGCGCACTCTAAACGCACTGAAAAGAACTCTCAGTGGAGCCTACCAAGGGCCACAGCGCTCGTCTACCCAGAAGAGCCAGCACTGCAGGTGGAAGAAGACGAGGAGGGTGCCATTTCGGGTGTAGGCAAAGGTTTTCCGGTGCATGGACTGGAGGGTTTCGGGATTCAAGGTCGGTGGCCTATAGGGTTCTTGAGGGTTTTTGTTTAGGGTTTAGGGTTTAGGGGTTTAGGGTTTAGGGTTTTTTAGGGTTTAGGGTTTTTTAGGGTTTAGGGTTTAGGGTTTAGTTTAGGGTTTAGGGTTTAGGGTTTTCGAGGGTAAGTTCATCTCACACTGGCACACTTCTGGGATAACGCATGAGCACAAGCAGCCCAGACCCTTTTTATAAGCCCGGACTCCTAAACACCAAGTCCTCACGGCCTAACTCCCGAGGTCCCCTCGAAAGAATCGGTGGGATGCTGGAGGCCTAAACCCTAAACCCTAAACCCTAAACCCTAAACAACCCTAAACAACCCTAAACCCTAAATCACCTTGGCGCTCCCAGCCCCTGGAAAAGCGCACAGGAGGGGTGGTGCCGAGCCCTGCTGAGCGACCTGGTCTGGGAATGAACACCCTATACGGGTAACATAGGTGCCTTAATAATTAGAACAGGGTTGTGGGTTTAGGGTTTAGGGTTTAGCATTTAGGGTTTAGGGTAGTATAATTCCAAAGGGACCATAAGGCAGTAATCTATAAATAATTATTCCGGCCTTATCTTAGTTCTCTAAGTTAGGCTTCCCTCTTGGGTGGCCTACAATATAGTACGGCACCCGTACAATGAGGACCCCAGACAGGGTCCCTAATTGAGAGAGTCTAAGGTACCCTAAGACCTCAGGACCCTCAAGACCTTTGCTAACCTTCACCTGGCTTCAGATTTTGGTATTTAGGGTTTAGGGATTCGGGGCTTGTTACCCAAAGCCCAGAATGGGAGTAGGGTTGCATTCTCAGAGCGCCGATCGCAGCCCACACTGGTTCCTAAACCCCTGGACCCTTGAACCTCTACATGGGGGTTTCCGAAAATAGGGGTTGCCCTTTTTTGGGGTGGTCCCTTACTTAGGGGGTCTCTATTCTAGTTGGTGTATAAAAGGGGGTCCCCTCCCTACATCCTGCAAGCTTTCCTAGCGAACAACTGCCACCGAAAGGCATCTGCAGCTTTCCTCAACTCAGCTAGGTAGGCCCTTGGAGGTTTAGGGCTTAGGCTTTAGGGTTGAAGAGGATCACATATTATAGGAATAATAGGATTTTCCCTCATTGGGTTGAAGAGGGTCCTATTTAGGAGTACTAGCAAGAGGGGTTTCAAGGGCCACCCGAGTCAGGTGGAAGGTTTAGCGTTCCTAGGATTCCCAGTAAGTACCCTGATTCCCTTATTTGGGGGGTTTAGGGTTTAGGGTTTAGGGTTTAGGGTTTAGGGTTTAGGGTTTAGGGTTTAGGGTTTAGGGTTTAGGTTCCCTAACAAACCCCTTTAACGCAAAAGGGGCACCCTGTTGAATCCTTGGTTCCTGGGCAACCTGAGTTCAGGGTCGTACGGTTTGGAGAGCTGGCACTGGGTGCCCACCGGTCCCTCTAGCCTTTAGCCAGAAGGTCTCAGGGTTTGGGGTTTAGGCTTGCAGGGTTGATGGATTGTCAGAGGTGTTTGGAGCTTGTGGCTTGAAATTGCACAGCTGCACACAGGGCTGCGCAGCAATCCTCACTGGCAAACTAACACCCCATACCAACCCTAGAGCCTTAAGCACCCTTGACCAAAGCCCCAAACTCTAAACCCGGTAAACCCCCTCAACCCTAAACCCTAAACCCTACACCCTAGACCTATAAAGCCCAAATTCTGTACGCCAGAACCCTAATTAAATCCCCCCAACCCTCTCAAGCCATGACTCTCCGAGGTTACAGCGTGCCTCTTCCAGTTCCGGGCTCTCGTGCGAGCCCACGGTTGGGGTAGGTAGGGTGTTTAAGGTTTTTAAGGGCTTTTTAGGGTGTTCATGGCTTATAGGGTTATAAGATTTAGAGGGTTGTTTTAGGGTGTTTCAGGAGTTTGTAGGTTTTTTTAGGGTGTTTAGTGTTGTTAAGGTTTTTAGGGGTTTTCAGGGTTTAGCTAGGTTCCGGGAACTGTGGGTGTGAAATCTTCGGGTTTGACGCTTTCGGGTTGCTGCGAAACTCTCGGAATCCCCAACCCCAAGCCGTAAAGAGGCTGAGCCAGAGACAACGTCAAACTTGCTGCGCATTTTAGGGTTCTTGAGGGAGGGGGGTTCATGGGGGTAGGTACCTAGGGAACCTCAGGGACCCTTAGGGATTAGGGAGGAGGGAGTAGTGGGGAGTATTCGGGAAGCTTGGGTTACAATCCCCCCCCCCTCCCCCTCCCTTGAACCTCCCCTCCCTTGAGAACCCTCTAATGCTCAAGAGCCGGCAGAAATCTACAGTGCAAGCTGCTCAGCTTGGCTATCACCGCAGTTGCTCGAGCTGAACACACACGACGTTACCATGTCGTTGTCGTGGTAGGAGTGTAGTTGACATCAAGCCCCCAAGCCTGCGCGCAATCGCACCCGGCATCCCCCCCAAACCCCCTTCACCTAACAGTTCATGCACGTAAGTTCTTGCTGCTTAGGGGGTCTGGTGACCTAACATATCGGCTGATCGGGCCTGGTTGCTACCCTAGGCTAGAAGGCAAAGACTAGAACAGCGATGATCCATGCATACCGGGGCCCTGGGAAGTTGATGTGGGGCTCAGGTAAAAGGATGGCAGGTTGGCAGTCAACTTGCTCTACCCAAGAGGTGAGGAGCGAAGTGTCTTGGAAAGCCCAGTAGCAACATCCACACGGGTTACGTTTCTGCTAACTATATGAGTTCCTCAACCCTTATAACCCCAGATAAACTACAGGGGTTTTTGGGATGTACATGGACCATCCCCGAAACCCTAAACCCTAAACCCTAAACCCTAAACCCTATGAAGCCCCCTGGCCAGTGGGCTGAGGCCTGGCGGGTGAGGAGCAGGATCGAGTGGCCAAGAAGGCTGGACATTCCAAGCCGTGTAGCCGTAAACCCTACATGGGCATTTCCCTAAGTAGGGGGTACCTCTCCCTAAACCCTAAAACCCTCAACATCATAAACCCTGAGCCCCAAACCGCCAGAGACCCCACGCCGCTTTAACCCCAAATGGGTGCGGTGGCCAGGTTTCCAAGGCATTCAGCTGGTCGCCTTTTGGGTTAGTAAGGCTCCACTATAAGCCCTAAACCCCGAACTCTAAACTTTCAACCCTAACCCGTTTGGGCTTGGGGTTCATCCTTTATATAGGTCTACGGGCTTCGGGTCTCTAGGGCTTGATGAGGGTTCAGGGTGCGTCGGGTCTGTCGGGCTGTAGGGTTCGGCGGTGTCGTGTCTATCGGGCTTAAGGCCTACAGAGTGCGAGGTGCCAAGACAACGAACGCTTTGATTGGACAAGTTAGGGTTTAGGGTTTCGGGTTTAGGGTTTAGGGTTTCGGGTTTAGGGTTTAGGGTTTAGGGTTTCGGGTTTAGGGTTTAGGGTTTAGGGTTTAGGGTTTAGGGTTTAGGGTTTAGGGTTTGGGGTCTAGGTCTAGGGTTTAGGGGCCAACTCGAGGGCTAGAAAGCCTCAAAACCCTCCCAAACCTTACAGTCTAGGGAAGTGTTCTGGCCCGGAAAGTCTGAGCTGTCAACTCTCTCTACACACTCTGCAGGGGGGAAAAGATTTTGAAAAGTGATCCTCGCTCCTTCGGCTTGTAGAGACCATTCTGCCAGTTGACGCGTGCCCCCAAAACCTTCAGCCCTAAACCCTGAACCCAACTATCCCTCCTCAGCGGCCAAAATGCCCCAAGCGGCCCCGAGCCGCCTTTAATTGCATCCCTAGAGAATCCCAGAACCCGGAATCCTGAACCCCCTAAACCCTAAACCCCAAGCCCTAAACCCCAAACCCTAAACCCTAAACCCTAAGCCCTAAACCCTAAACCCTAAACCCTAAACCCTAAACCCTAAACCCCAGAGCAAGTCGGATTTTGAGGCACTGCGATCACTCCAAGGCACCTTGGAGGAGGATTTCGCAGGCCATTGGACAGCCCGTAGTTTAGGGTTTAGGGTTTAAGGTTTAGGGTTTAGGGTTTAGGGTTTCGGGTAGACGGTATAGGGTTTAGGGTTGAGGGTTTAGGGTTGAGGGTTTAGGGGTTTCAGGGTTTAGGGTTTCAGGGTTTAGGGGTTTCAGGGTTTGGGGTTCAGGGTTTGAGAGTTTAGGGTTTTCAGGGGTTTAGGGTTTTTGGGTTTCAGGGCTTAGGGTTTGCGGTCTAGGGTTTAGGGTTTAGGGGTTTCAGGGTTTTAGGGTTGTAGGGTGTTAGTTTAAGGTTTTTGGGGTCAAAGGTTTTGTCTCCCTGCGCAGCGCAAGAAGTAGAAGAAGTATCATGTATGGCCCCACCACCAGTTCAGGGTGTGGAGGTGGCGTCGCATGCAAAGTGGAGTTGACAACGTTCCCTAAACCCTAAACCCTGAAACCCTAAGACCCTAAACCCTAAACCGCGGGTGCAGGACTCCGGTTCAGTGCAGTTATGTGCCTAAGGCCATAGGCTGATACAACCCACTGTTGAACGGGCTCTGACGAAGCCAGGCTTAGCAAAGCCCGCCCTTTTTGTGTTCAAGTTTGAGACTGGTCCATGAGAGAGAAAAAAAGGTGCGGCCCCAAAGAATTCGACAGAGCCCTGGCAGCCTAAGCCCTCAAGAACTCGAAAGACACCCCCGCCTCCCCTCTCCTATCCAACTTCCCGATGTTAGGCGTAGAACGGACCATTCCGGGCGTATCGCCTTGCCGCCATGCTTTGCACAGGGCTGCTGATTTCAGCTTCTCTTAGGAGGCTTGTCTATTTCAAGGCCCATAGGCTGTTTTGCAGGCCCGTTTTGTCTGCCTTCGGGCCGTTTCGCGCTTTTTCTGTTGCTGCCTTCTGAACGCAGGGGGGGTGACACCAAAGTAGAGGGGTTGTTGTTCGTCTTCTGATGTTGGCTTTCGGTGCAACTTGTCCTAGAGGGTGTCGGATTTCAGGGCCATTGAGAGGCAAGGCCTTGCCGACTTCCGGCCATGTATAGCACAAAAAGAGCACCCCAGTGCAGGCTTTTTGGCCCGAAACGATTTCGGGCTTTGGAAGGTTAAGGGCTACGCTTTTGAGACTTGGGAGGTCCTCTTGTAGGATGCATCTGGGTTCTCGTGTCAATGCTACCCGGGCCTTGATCCACCTCAGGCTTTATGGTTTAGGGTTCAGGGTACCATGTTCATACGAATTTCAGTAGACGGGGCGAATGGCACGCATTGGAAGCTACGTAAACGGGGCTTTACGAAAAATGGTGGTACCCTTGTTGGGTGTTCCTATGATAATTAAGAGTTATAGCAGTGGGGGTAGGAGTACCCCTATTTGGGAGATGTCTAAATCCCTACCCACAAAGACGCCACGTTTTCGGTTGCCAGTTGCCATTTGGACAGCAGCGCGTTTGGTGTGGACCGGGCGTGGGGCTTTTTTTCCAGGTTCGTATGAAAGGAGAGGGCTCTCTTAAACCCTGAACCGCAAGCTCCAAAGCTTAAACTTAACCCTGTAGTCAGCAGTAAAGCCTGAACCCTGCACCCTCGACCCTCGACTTTAACCCTCATCTCACCTGCACAAGAGCGCTGCGAACTCTTGCAGTAGGGTTTAGGGTTTAGGGTTTAGGGTTTAGGGTTTAGGGTTTAGGGTTTAGGGTTTGGGGTTTAGGGTTTAGGGTCCAAAGTCGGCGAGCTTGTTTTGGGGCTGTGGGGCCTTCGTGCACGTAAGTGTTGCTTTCTCGTGCCCATAGCATGAGCTGCACGAAATGAACGGTTCGAACTAAGTAGGCACCTCCCTGCAAGTGCTCCCCAACAAAGTCGAATTCCTTCACGCAGCGATGGACATGGATACATCCTGAGCCGTTCAGAGTATGACTCCGGGGTTTACGATATTGGGGGTACCTCATTTGGGGTCGTTTCTAGAAGGGCATCCTATAAAGTTTTAAACCCTCAGCCCGATCCCTAAACCCTGAACCCGAAACCGGGTTTAGCCCCTACACCCCTTCTAAACCCTAAACCCTAAACATTCTCGAGCACGGAGGACTTGTCGATCAGCGAGCGGGACTTTCTGCAAGGCCAACGACGAGAGCCAGGATCGCGGGTTCAACTGGTGTGCACCTTAGCGACTAAATGGTTTAGGGTTTAGGGTTTAGGCGGGTTTAGGGACCAAATGAACCCCAACATTGGGGTCCTATACCCTATACTACTATAATGCCTGGTAAGGTAACTGAACCCGAAAATTGGGGGGGGGGGGGGGGGGTCCTATAATTACCCTGTACTACTATAATGCCTGTTAAGGTAACTGAACCGGAAAATTGGGGGGGGGGGGGGGGGGGGGGGGTCCTAAGACCCTATACTACTATAATGCCTGTTAAGGTAAATGAGTAAATGAGCTGTAAAATAAGGATCCTATACCCTATACGAGTATGATCCATAAACCCTGTTAGGGTTCACTGGGTCCCTAAGGCACAGCACCTCGCCAGTCTCCATGCGTTTTCTATTCTAGGGTTTAGGGTTTTGGGTTTAGGGTTTAGGGTTTTAGGTTTTCGTTTCAATGGGGGTTCAGCATGTTGGGCTTTAGGGCTTAGGAGGTTCTACTTTCGGGTTGTCGGGCTTTGGCGGGTTGCAGGGTGTTCGGGCTAAAGGATTGTGGGGCTCGTAGCGTGTGTTTGGGTGGTTTGGGGTTTAGGGTTGAGGGTGTGTTTTGATTGACAGTCCAGGCAGCGATCCGTCTAAGCTAGGAAAGGCTGTTCCAGGTTCAGCGTTTAGGTCAACTTTCTACAAGTACGTGGCATTATGTGACTATCATCGCAAGCAGCTTAGCTGTATTTCGGACCTCGATGTGCGTGTAGCGTATATGGTTGCTAGGCATGTCCTTTGCGGTTGGGTTCAGATCCTTGGGGACCAAGTGAACCCTGCAACACCCAGCAGAACCCACCCAGAGCGCTGAAGAACAACTCCCCAAGCGACCTCTGGGCGACAGGAAAGGCGCCCACCACCCAAGACAAAGATGAAATGAGGCTCGGGCATGCATGCTGCATTTTTTAAGCCCTAAAAGCCCCGAACCCCAACAACCTCAAACCCCTAAACCCCAAACCCTAATAATTTTCAAAGGCTTTCGCAACAACTATCCCGAAACCCGAGAGCCTGGCCAGCGAAATCCATGTGCCCTCCGTTCTGCGGCCCAAGAACGCCGAGGCCCTTGAACGCCAGATCCTTCAAATCCCAAGGGCTTAGGGGAGACTGTGCCATAAACCGAAAAACTCTAAGCCCTAAACCCTAAACTTTAAGCCTTACTAAACCCTACTAAGCCCGATTAAACCCTAAACCCTAAACCCTAAACCCTCAACCCTAAACCCTAAACCCTAAACCCTAAACCCTAAACCCTAAACCCTAAACCCTAAACCCTGAACCCCTCACCGAAGCCAGGAAGTGCCCCAGAGCCTAGACCCCGAAACATGTTCGCTTCGGGGCGGCTTGCAAGTGGCTGCGGCTGTTGCTGTACCAAGGGGTTTAGGGTTTAGGGTTTAGGGTTTAGGGTTTCAGGGTTTGGGGTTTAGGGTTTAGGGTTTCAGGGTTTCAGGGTTTCAGGGTTCAGGGCTCAGGGTTCAGGGTTTAGGGTTTAGGGTTTAGGGATCAGGGCGTGCCTCGAAGACGAAAGCGCAGAGCCAACATACTCCAAACCCATACCCCTGACCCTATAAAAGGAGAACATACGGAAGGAGTCTTACAAAGTCTTTACCCTAAACCCTAAACCCTAAACCCTGAACCCTAAACCCTAAACCCTAAACCCTAAACCCTAAACCCTAAACCCTAAACCCTAAACCCTAAACCCTAAACCCTAAACCCTAAACCTGAACCCTAAACCGTAAACACCTTTAGCTTCTTTCAAGGGCATGCCGAAGGGGTATGTGGAACCTTTCTTACAGTCTAGGGTTTAGGACTACTTCGTAGCCCAGTAAACCTTCGAAATCCCATAAAAGTAAGAAACAGCAACCCTAAACCCTAAACCCTAAACCCTAAACCCCAAACCCTAAACCCTAAACCCTAAACCCTATACCCTAAACCCTAAACCCTTGAGTGGGGCCTTTGGCCCCTTTATCCCTGAAGCAGCTCCTAGAATCTCAGAGTGGCCTACATCTAAAGAGCAACCCCCAACACACCCTAAGCTCCCTTTGCCTTGAATACATATAATATATATATATATGTATATTTGTATACATATATATATATATGTATATGTAGATGTATATGTATATACAACTATATAAAAACAAGAAACACAATTTTTATGTACATGATAAAGCTACTGAAAACACCAATAATTGTAATGAAAGTCATATTTTCATTTCTTTTCAAGAAGGTTTTAAGGGCAATATGGGAATTACTATCGTTTAGTTTTGGAGGTTCTTAAGCAAATAGAGTTAGAGATTCAAAAAGCTCTCTGTCCCTACACCAGGGTGGAGAAGAAGCTGCGCGAGATCTGCACGCTGAAGCGTCGCCAGGCGAGACCGACTTCGTCTGGGTCCTGAGACTCTGAAGACTCGACGACCATTAAATCAACACAAATGAAATTTCTGGTACTGACAGTCCTTAATAGGTATGAAGGACAATATCACCATTAAGAACTGTCAGTAGAAGCGGGAACAGTTGCAGCCGCCATCCCATAACACCACTTGGAGGGTGTCTGACAGAGGCTCCACAAGCAAATCCTGTGCAAATTTGGGTTTGCAGACTTGGGATGTAGGGGTTTACGAAAATAGGGGACCCCGAATCTAGACCCTTAAACAGCAGGATCCCTTTATAATAAATATTTTCAGGACCACGGCAAGCTACCCCTACTTTCGGAAACCCCCATGTAGGTCATAGGGTCGAGGCGGTTCGTGATGCAGGTTGACATGTGTAGGGTGGCCAGGGCTCTGTTCGCAGGGTTTACTTCGGATGCAGGTCTTGAGCATTTAGGGCAAGGAGCAATAACTCGGGAGGTTTTTAAACATGTTATGTTCCCCCCTATTGGGTTTAAGAGGATCATATTCAGGAGCATTTTTCAGAGGGCCCTAAACCCTAAACCCTAAACCCTAAACCCTAAAGAGGGCTCTAAGGGCCAACCGAGATAACAATTGACAGAGGTCTATCCACGTCAACACACGGCGCGGCGTCGTGCCCAAACGACGAGCCCCAAAAAAGCTCCGTTTTTGCTGAATCTGAATTAGTCTGGGGTTTTAGTTTAGGGTCCACGCTTCAGGGTTTGGGGTCTAGGGTTTAGGGTTTAGGCTTCAGGGTTTAGGGTTTAGGGTTTAGGGTCTAGGGTTTAGGGTTTAGGGGACCCAATGACCACTGTACCCCAAAGCCTTTAAACTTCACAGGCGTTATAAGCACCACAGCCGCTTGCACCCTAAACCGTCAAACCCCAGCAAACAAATCTCAAACCCACCCTAAAGCCAAAACCCTGCACACCCGAAACCCTAAACGTATAGCGCCTACACCCTAAACTCTAAACAACAAAACCCTGAACCCTACAACCCTACACACCCTAAGTCAATTCAGGAGAATCACAGCCAATCCACATGGTAATGCCCATTTCCGACTGCGTGCATCTCCCATTAGGCTCCACATGCTATATCCATTTCTGAGCTTGTGTATTTCGCACATTGCCCCCCTAAGCCCCTGTTGCTTCTTGTTGGTACTGCCGGGCTGAGACCTCCGCTTGCCGGTGTTGTTGTCACTGCAACATTCTGCTTGAGACCCCCGCTCGAACCTATAGTCGTGCAACACGAGACTCGATGACATGAGACATGACGACACGATGCACAATAGCCGAATGAGACACGACGACAGGAGACGCACGGCGCAAACCACGAGACTCGACACACGGCACACAACTCAAAAAACGAAATGAGACTCGACACGACAGAACATGACACACGGTCAAGCGCGACGCGATGACACGAGACCCGTCGGCACAAGCTTGAAAAAGTCGTCTTCTCCTGCGGTTTTGACCATTTCATGTGCCACGAACCTTGGGGTCATAGAAAAACGGCACGCGTGATTCACTGCGCCTGTTTCCGGAAACCGTCTTTATGTTAACGCCTGTTTCCGAAACCGTGGTTGGGAAAGCAGGGCATAAACAAAGATACGTGCACACGCATAAACGTATGCACATTATTACATATGCATGAAAACCGCGAGAATGCTTCGAATGAGTTTCAACTATCAGCATGTCTACTGTAATTAAGGGTTGTTTTTTCCTCCTTCTGGTTGTTTGGAGTTCAGGCACTTTACCTGGCATTTCCAATTCAATTACTTGGGATTTTGCTGACCTAGCCCTGTCTACATTTTTCGATCCATACTCGTAGGCCGTATCTATACTTATGCAGCAGGCTTGCGCGAAAACCTCGACGCTAAACCCTAAACCCTCCCGTTCATGCTCTCCAGACCCTGCCCTAAAGCCTACAAACCCTTACGCCCCCTTTTGAATCCTAAACCCTATAACGCTGTAAGCCCCCTTCATACCCAAAAACAAACGCTCTGCGGTGCAGGTCGATGGTGAAGCCTTGGACAAGCTCCAGGCCTGCGGAACTTTGGGTTGCCTTGCTATATTTCTTGATAGGGTTTAGGTTTAGGGTTTAGGGTTTAGGGTTTAGGGTTTAGGGTGTAGGATTTAGGATTTAGGGTGTAGGGTTTAGGGTTTAGGGTTTAAGGAACCAAAGCCTAGGAAAAATCCTCAACCGGGAAGCCCGAAGCCCTCCAATTGATTTCCACAAGTTGGGGGTTTAGGGTTTAGGGTTAGGCCCCTTGCCTTCGCAGGACCTTATGCGTAAACCCCAAGTCTAAACACAGGCGTCCGAACCCGTACATGCTCCAAGGCCGCCAACACCTAATCCCAGTGAACCCTAAGTCCTCAACCTTGACCATGTCATGCTCTCTATCTCTCCTCAACCCTAAACTCCAGACCCTAAACCCTAAACCCTAAACCTTTAAAACTCCAAGCCCATCCCACAGAGCATTGTTTTGGGCGGGGGGGGGGGGTCTGTCAGGCGGAAAAGATCGCCAAGAGAGGGGAGCTTTTCCGCGAGGCGTGAGGGCTTCCGTTTGATCTGCAAGGGTCTTGGGACTTAGGTTTTAGGGGTTTAGGGGTGTAGACGGTGCTTGGGGTGCAAGGCTCTTGGGGTTTGGGGGTTTAGGGCTCTGCGAAAACTTAGGGGTTTAGGGTTTAGGGTTTAGGGTTGGCTTAGGGTTGAAGAAACCCTGCGCCATCTGTGCAAAACGCTAGGCTCCACAACCCCCTTAAAAGAGCAGAAAAAAGGCCAATCCCCCCCCCCGCGGCCCCCCAAGAAACAAAAACAAGCGAAGAGCTGAAAACCAACACCTAAACCACACGGCCAAATTGGAAACTCCCAAACCCTAAAAAACCAAGAAACCCAAACCGTAAACCTAAACCCTTGACCCTATAAACCCTAAACCCTAAACCCTGAACCCTAAACCCTAAACCCTAAACCCTAAACCCTTTCCACAGCAGGTCGCTGAGCTGAAGCTGAGAAGGGCAGAGAAGGCGGCCTGGGGATTCAAAAAAAGCAACGACCTGGGTTTAGGGTTTAGGGTTTAGGGTTTAGGGTTTAGGGTTTAGGGTTTAGGGTTTAGGGTTTAGGGTTCGGAGAAAAAATTCCCTAATGTCGGCACCCTAGACCCCAAATCAAGCATCGCACCATCCTCGCGTTGCGCCAGAGGAGCTCGTGAAACTCTTCAAGGGCCGGAAGAAAGCCTTTCAGGACGGATTCAGGGTTTCGGTTGTCTAAAGGTTAAGGGCTTAGGGTCAATTAGGGAGTTCCGTCTCTTACTCCCTCTACATACAATGCCACTATGGTTTCAAACTTTGAAGCTTTGGACAAGTACTTTCAGGGGCAAACCCTAACCCCAAAGCCCTCACAGGACCTAACACCCAAAACCCCTAAACCCAAAAACCCTATAGCCGGCCCTGGCACCAT